TTGGCTTCATGCAGCATGTCTTTACTGCTATTAGGGAGGCTCCTCCACAATCTACACCTTAGATCGGCCAGCATACCACCACTTCAGTGACTCCAGCTGTACAGCCCACTAGGCTTTAGAGTCAGGGACAGCCAGCTACTCAGTTTGCTTCACCTACAGAGCAGGTGTCCCAGTGGTTTGCTTCGCTAGTGACAGCCCAGGGTCCTCACTTCACTCCCATTGTTATGGGTTTCACTCTGCCTCAGAGTTCCTCAATGCTAGTGACTGACACCCCAGTCTCTAGGAGCCTCGGTGCTACTTTCAGTGAGCTTACAGGGCAGCCTACACCACCAGAGTTGTGAGTCCTTGTCACTACCACAGTTGCTCTAGTTACCGGTACTACAGAGACGATCCCGTCTTCTGTTGCATCATCTGAGCCAGTTTCCGCGACAGCGACAGTGGTAGATGTGGCTCCACTTCCTACAGTGATACTTCTAGAGTCATAGGCCATGCCGGTTATTGAGCAGACCTAGACCACTTCACCTTCACTTCTAGCGATAGAGGGTCAGACCGCTTAGAGCTCAGGGTCAGATGATGCTGCTGCTCCGTTCTAGATTTCTCACCGCACTTCAGCGTCCGACTCAACTGCTCTTGTCCTGCCATCCGACCCTTAGGTTTTGGTGCTTGACGCCAAAGGGGGAGAGGAATCGAGTATGTTAGATCTAGGGGGAGCAGTACATCTAGGGGAGCATATGATTCATTTCTTTTGGCTCTTTATGTGTGATACATTATGCATTCACGGTTACCTTCATGCATTGCATTACATACTTGTGATGGTGAGACTTGTGACATGTGTGCTCTCTACATTGATACTTATATATATGTCATGTCACTTGATTATGCTCATTTGCTTTGCTTCCGCATTTTACTCCGATTCAAAGGAGCTTTACTTCTTGTACTCATGCGTAATTCATATCTATTGAGTACACCATGTTGGCTTGGGTCATATAAGCATGTCTAACTCCTTTGCTCATATTGTCAAAAGCTTATATGAACCAAGCATGTTGAAAACCTCACTCATCTCTTTTACATACTCGAGGTTGTGTTGTCATCAATCACCAAAAAGGGGGAGATTGAAAGCATCTAGGCCCCTAGTTGGGTTTCGGTGATTAATGACAACACGAGATTACTATGACTAACGTGTGTTTTGTAGAGGCAATTAAGTTAGGTCATGGTAATAGCAATTGATTGGGCAATCATGGTAGTCATGCCCCTAACCATGGAAATCATTTCAGTTTTCAAAGAATGGACGACAAGGTTAAGGACGGACTAGTTCTAAGTGTCGTTTGGTATTGGAGAGACACTTAGAGTAGTTTAGGACTTTGTTTTTTCTTTGGCTGTACTATTAAGGGGGGTATGGACTAGTAGCTTGACCTAGGTGAGTCTAGTGGGTTAGGTATGGTGCACACTTATCAAATCTAGCACTAAGTAGCTCAGGAGTAGCCCTAAGATCAATTGGAGTAAACTTCATTCACATAGGATTTCGAGTTGGAAGTGAATGGAGGGTCAAATGACTGACCGGACATTGGTCTGGTTGTGACCGGACGTTGGAGGGTGAGTCCGGTCAGTTCATTTGATCAACTAGAGCCGTCTAATTGTGACCGGACGCTGAGTGAAAAGTGATCGGACGCTGGGTGCCTGCGTCCGGTCAACTCCAGAGAGGTTCCAAAGAGGGAGTTTCCTGATCGAACGCGTCCGGTCAGTGCTGACCGGATGCTGGTCAGGATCCGATAACTGACCGAACGCTGAACAATGAAGTGACCGGACTCTGGGTGCCAGCGTCTGGTCAACATCAGTAAGGTTCCAGAGAGTGTTTTTCTTGATCGGACGCGTCTAGTTAGTGCTGACCGAACGCAGGTCAAAGTCCGGTCAGAACTTAATGGCTCTTTCTAACACAGTGGCGGGGATAACTTACCAGAGCGTCCGGTCACCCTAACCGGAGCGTCCGGTCACCTCGTAGAGTGATGACTTAGCTTCCAAACGTTATGTTTTGAATGAGAGGGTATAAATACTTACTCCAATCGTCCAAGGGTGGCCTCTTGCCTATTTGTTCAGCTGAGCAACACCCTTGAGAGTGCAAAGGAGAGCAAGAGCCTAGTAAGGTGATTGAGATTTGAGAATCTAAGATTAAGGCCTGATTAGTGCAAGGAGAGTAGCAAGTGTGCATCCACCCTTCTCATTAGGCTTGTCGTGGTCAAGTGAGAGTTTGTGCTTGTTACTCTTGGTGATCGCCATCACCTAGACGGCTCAGTGGTGATTGAGAGTTCGGTGATCATCCGACGGAATTTGTGGATGACCCAACTCAAGTTATGAGCGGTTTTGGGCGATTCACCGCGATGGAGTGTCGAAGAATCAGCCCGTAGAGAGCACTTGATCCTTACGCAGATCAAGGGGGAGCTACACCCATGCACGGGTGCTCCAATGAGGACTAGTGGGGAGTGGTGACTCTCCGATACCTCGGCAAAACATCGCCGCGTTCCTTTCCCTCTCTTTACTTTAAGCATTTATATTTGAGCAATTCATTTTATGTCTTTACATTCCTAGAATTGCCATGCTAGAGTAGGATTAGAACTTAGGGTGCAAGGCTTTTATGCGGTAGAACAATAGAATCACATTATAGGCTCAAGGGATAAAGTGGGATAAGTGTATGACTTAATTATTGTAAAGAATTTAGAATTAGCCTAATTTACTTTTTTGGGCACCTTGATCCTTTCAGTCTTCATAGTTGGGCGTTGATGTAGTTGCTCCTAGGTTGACTTGCTCGATCGGGATTGGAGCATCGTTTGTCGTCTCCGAGTTGGATCTATTAGCCTGTTCCAGGCAATTGTTTTTCTAAATGGTAAACGGTCTTTACACGGTCGCCCTTCGTTTAGCGTTTAGGCTATTTACATGGTGTTTAAACGAAGTTAAACGGTCTAAATAGTTTTATACTTAAAAAAATACATATAATTATATATGTGCATGTAAAAAATCAAGTATTCTAGCATTTATACATATTTATCCGAGTAAAAATCAATTATTTTGGTATATATATATATTTATGCATGTGAAAAGAAACAAATATAGATATTTATGCATGTAATATATCAAGTGTACACATTTATAAATATAATAAATTTAAGTATACAAATTTATCCATACAAAACTGAACTAGATTTATCTCATGTTCGCCTAAACGGCCGTTTAAACAGCTGTTTAGCCCGTTTAATACTATTTATCTCCGTTCCGTTTAGGTCGTTTAGACCGTTTTTTGACCGTTTAAATGGTCAACCGTTTAATTTCCGTCTACCCCCTAAACAAAACAGTTTATCACCGTTTACTGACCGTTTAAACGGTCGTTTAATCTGTTTAGACGAACACTGGTTCCAGGACATAGAAGTTGCATGGAGGCCGCCGCTTGACTTGGACGCAAGTTGCACCCGGACGCCAAGTTCCATCAGAGCTAGATGTCAATGGACGCTGTCGCCAGAGATTGAGTCATCGCGGACAAGATTGCGTCATGGTGTCGCGGCCAGTTGCGTTGACATCGAGTTGGGTTGTTGAAGGACGCTGCCGCGATCAGCCGAGTTGCCATGGAGGATGCTGATCTTTAGGTCCATCGAGCTCTCGCAAAATCGCCGAAAGCTCGTACCTGGTGCGCCAGTTGTTAGTGTTTATAGACCGGAAACACGTCACGAGGCTACCCGGGACAATGATTAAAGGGTCTTGGCGTAAGCAGAACTAGACGATAAACGCAAAGACAACAATTTATACTGGTTCAGGCCGCTAGAATAGCGTAATACGTCCAGTTCAGCGTGTGACCTTGCATTGGATTGTATTGTATGATGTGTGTTTACATATGCTGATGCGTCTCTGCCGATCTAGAGAGCCTTGCTCTCCTTTATATAGTTCAAGAGGCAAAGTCTCCTAGTCGGTTACAATATAGGAGTCATAGTAGCATTATTTTATAGTAGTTCTACTATGATTACATTTGGAAAATCCTATTCAGAATAGATCTTCTGGCTTCCTTGGGGTACCTAGGGACTATGTTCCACATTCGTGACACTTGACGAACTACCGTGTTCACGTGGGCTTAAGTGTGAGCGAGGAACTGTCTCGATAGTAGCCACTGTATTTGTGCTTTTATAAACGGTTTTGTTATAGTACCTTCGTCCCAAAAAAATGTAATTATGGGTTGCGTGCCCTGTAAAGTGGTTCATGTTTGATCAAGTTTCTAGTTAATATTATTCATATTTATGGCTCCGAATTAATTTATTATAAAAATATATTTCGTAATCAACCTAATGATATTTATTTTGTATCATAATATTGATATTTTTTATTTACAATTGGTTAAACTTAATATACTAAAATGTGATACTATGCTAGAATTGTATTATCTTAGAGACGGGAGGTAGTATTAGCCAAGCCATCTCTTGATCCAGCCCCTAGCCACATGAGTTCATGGCTCATATACAATGAGCTCATCCATAGCACTAGTTGGGCATCAGCATCTATAACCACCTAAGTTGTCCACTTAATTAAAACCAAACTGTATTTCTTAGATTTTTTATTAAAATATTTTAGTACATATAAATATTTAAAGTAAATCCAAATATAGTGTTTTTTAAATATCTAAAAAGCTAAATAGACTTTTGCAGCACCCCGGAGGCCACCTCCTTTTCTGGGGAAAAAAATGCTCAGCAGAAATAAGTTTTTCCAAACCAAACACACCCTGTGGCCATCAAAACACACCGCCAACCCGAGTACTCCACGGTACTGCTCCGCCCAGTACTCCCACTGCGAGTGCGCTGCTGCTGTGTCTTGTGCGCGGCCGATGCGGCGCCGATCTCCATGCTTGTGCGAAACCTAGGCAGCGGTGGTGGCGGCGGGCGCGGGCGAGGCCGCAAGGCGGCATCTGCATCCTGAGTGGGGAGCGGGCTCCCCCGATCCACATCGCGCGGGTGGGTGACGGCGTCGCGATGAACCCGTTATGCTGCATCGCGCCGGTCTCGCTCGAGCACGCTGCGGACCAGCTCCACGAGCACCCGACGCGCATCCTCGCCGGTGCCCCGCCGCCGACGCCGGCCCCCCAGCAGGATGCGGTCGCGGGGGTGCTGCACAAGTGGGTCAACTACGGGAAGGGGTGGCGGTCGCGGTGGTTCGTGCTAGAGGATGGGGTGCTATCCTACTACAAGCTTCGAGGCCTCGGAGGGGCAGGCGGAGCTGGTGCTGGGGAGGTGGCCGCGTCGTCCGCTGCTGCTGCAGCCAGAGTGATCGGGGACGGGAGTGCGCTGCAGCAGGCGCAGGAGGTGGCCTCGGGGGCAGGAAAGCTGTGGAAGCCATTCGGCGAGATACACCTCAAGGTACGCTGCTGCCATTGGATTCGGTTTCTTCAGGCGTGCTTGTTCCGGCACTGAGAAGTGAAATTCTTAAGCCGCATTCTTCGTGTAATGATTGAGCCATGAATATTGTTCGGGTAAATGTGCTTAGAGTAAAAAAAAAAGTGGGGCATTGGCTCTCATTTTACCTTTCATTTTGCCTTTTTCCAATTGATGACAGGCCGTGGTAGGGAAACCTGGTCGCAGATATGTATATGTTTGCATCGATGCAGAACATTTAGTCTAATGCAATAACGCCACAATCGATCATCACTGTGGAATTATCTGAATGATTTGGCACAATGCTGGAGGAAGGAAGATAGATTTCTCAATTTTACAGGAATTTCCTTCTTTTGTATTCAGGTCTCATCTATTCGTGCAAGCAAGTCTGATGATAAGAGGCTGTACATATTCAGTGGAACGAAGACTCTACACTTGAGGTGTGAAACTGAGGAAGATAGGAATGCGTGGATAGATGCATTGCTGGCAGCGAAGGATCAGTTCCCACGGTCACTGACTAGCAATGATCTTGGTCCCATGGCAGACATTATGTTGACCTCTGAGAAGCTTAGGGCACGGCTGCTGCAGGAGGGTCTGAGTGAAGCAGTGGTCAGGGAGTGTGAGTCTATCATGATGAGTGAGCTGCTGGAACTGCACAAGCAGATAAAGTCTCAGCAGCAGCAGCATTCTATTTTGATAGACCGCCTCCGGCAACTGGAGGTCATCTTTCTGTCTCTGGTTTGGTTACTTAATAATATCAGATTTTATTTTTTGTTATTATTATTGCCTTTTCTAGTATTGATTATTAGAAATAAAAATACTAGCAGCAGGGAAAATATCTCCATACTTTTCAGCGAAGGAAAAATATCATTATCTGCAAAGCACAAAAATAGTAATAATGATTTAGCACTGAGCTTAATCTGAGCTAGGGCTTCACATTACATGCTATCTTGTAATCAGCAGAGTACCCGCATTAATGCGTTGCATAGCTTGTTTGTCGTGTTGCTGCTAGCGTATCTACATCATTGCTTGGTTCATTCACGTTATTATGTGGTGCTGACAACTGGCAACAATAATGACATCAGCCAGTGTCACATGCTGATATGCATGTAACGTGTGCTTTGCATGTTTTGTGTTAAAAGTTGCAAACATTTTGTAAATATGAGCTGTATGTGATATAAGGATATAAATAAGAGCTATATGTGTTATAAGGATGTTGTGGACTCCTTCCTAGGCCGCCACTACAGACACCGGACCAGGCGTCCTCCAGCTAGTGGGTAGAATGCCGAGTCAATTTAGAAGCATGCAGATGCAGTCTAGTGGCTAGGAATGCAGAGTTATTTTTAAGAAGCATTTAGAAGCATGTAGAGTCTAGTGGCTAGGACTGCAGAGTTATTTTAGAAGCATGCTCCTGTTCTATAAGGGGGCTTAGAGAATGTAATAAGGAATCATCGAAGAAGAATAGAACCTCCCTAGCAGGTGGGGTTCCTCTTCGACGGTGGCTGCGCGCAGTTCAGCCGTTGTCGCCGGTGATCTCCCCACCGCGCCATTGCCTCGCTATCCCCTTCGCTCCAATCCTCAATCCCAACTACTACTCCACTCTCCCTTACACACCCCTCACAGACCACGCCGTATCAATTTGGTACCGGAGACCAGCCCGAGTGCATTGACAGCCTTGTCCGGCACTCCCTTCAATCCTACGGCTCTGGAGGCGAAGCTGGATCGTATCTTCGGCCAACTCACCACCATCACCAATCGCTTGAACTCCCATGACTCTCGCCTTGCTCGTGTGGAGACGGGCAAGCCCGATCTCGCCAAGGGTGGAACGATCGAGCCGGGCGGCGAAGATGACCACCGCGACGAGGACCGCAAGGACCACGACAACCGTGGCTCTGAGCGGGATCGCGCTTGGGCAGAGTTTCGCGACCACACCTTGCGTGATTGGGAACGCTACTTTGACTCGCACGATCGCCTCGATCGTCACGACTCGGGCCGCTACGGTCGTGACTACTACGGAAGGGGCGGCCATGACTACGACGACCGCGGCCGCGACTTCGACGCCCGCCGCGAACGCGACGTCGGCTACGATTACGACCGCGATGGCTGCACGTTCGTTTGTGGTGGGCGCTACTGTGGCGATCGTGACGACTTCGGTGGGGGACGCTACCGTGACGACTTCGGCCATTGCAAACCGCACTGGCCACCGAAGATCTAGTTCCCCAACTTCGACGGGGAATCGGATCCGCTCACGTGGCTTAACAAGGGCGACAATTACTTCCGGGGGCATCGCGTGTCGGAAGATGAGAAGGTTTGGATGGTGTCCCTGCATTTGGACGGCACCGCTGCGAAGTGGTACTACTAGATGGAGCGTGACTTTGGGATGGTTCCGTGGCCGCGTTTCGTCGAATTCGTCAACCTCCGATTCGGGCCGCCAATCCGTACCAACTCCGTCGGTGAGATCAAGGCCTTGGTCCGCACGGGCACCGTGGAGGAGTACTCGCGGCGCTTCCTCGCCCTGCTTTCACGCTGCGACAACCTCTCCACGCGGATGGCCATCGACCTTTATACTGGAGGCTTGGGTCAGCCACTGGCCTCTGATGTTGAGATGCAGCACCCTGCTAATTTGCAGCAGGCCATGAGTTTGGCACGGGCGTACGAGCAGCGGCAGTCGGAGGCCTCCACCGTCAATAGCTTCGCGGCACCCAAGGCCTCTGGCCGCCACGTCTCTGCCTCGGCCAGCGCTGATGCTCCAGGTGCTACTACGCAGACGACAAGTTGGACGGGCCGCGGCTCTGCTTCCGTCGTCTCACGCAAGCGGAGATGCAGGAGAAACGACAGAGCGGGCAGTGCCATTTTTGCCCGGAGCCGTACAGCAAGGACCACAAGTGCGCGACCAAGGGTGTCTTCCTCATGGACTTGGTGGATGGCGAGGCGGACCCCCTTAGTGAGATCACCGACTTGGAGATCTCCAAGTGCTAACCGGCCTCGGCCATGGTGATTCTATGATGCTACAGGTTACCGTGGGCGGGGAATAGCTGCGGGCGCTGGTGGACACCGGCTCCACTCACACGTTCATCCATTCAGCGCTCACGCAATGCCTTGGCCTCACCGTCACTCCACGCGCTGGCCTGAATGTGATGGTGGCCAATTGTGATCGGGTGTGCAGCCCGGGCGTCTGCCTCGCCATCGGTGTCACCATCGGCGATGAGGCCTTCTCCATCGACTGCTTTGCCCTGGACTTGGGCGGGTTCGACCTTGTCCTCGGCGTCCAGTGGCTGCGGACATTGGGGCCTGTCGTCTGGGACTTTGGCGCCCTAGCGATGTCCTTTTGGTACAATGGCTGGTCCCATCACTGGACTGGCATTGGCAGCAAGGGCTTGGCGGCTCGCGCCATCGCTGACCCCCGCGTTGTCCTGGAGGAGTTGCTACAGTCATATCAGGACATCTTCGAGGAGCCGCGCGGCCTGCCACCGACACGCTGCCAAGACCACCGGATTCACCTCCTGCCGAGCTCCCCACCGGTGGTGGTGCGTCCGTACTGGTATCCGCAGCTCCTCAAAGATGAGATCGAGCCACAATGCGAAGACATGCTGGCCTAGGGGATCATCAGGGAGTCGACCTCACCATTTTCCTCCCCGGTGCTCCTGGTCCACAAGCACGATGACAGTTGGCGCTTCTGCGTCGACTACCGCGCCCTCAACGACGCCACCGTCAAGGACAAATTCCCGATCCTGGTGGTCGATGAACTCCTAGACGAGCTGAAGGGTGCCCGCTTCTTCATCAAGATCGACTTGCGCAGCGGGTACCACCGAGTGCGTATGCATCCGGATGACATCGCCAAGACCGCCTTCCAGACGCACCGGGGGCACTTCGAGTTCCTTGTCATGCCCTTTGGCCTCATCAACACGCCGACGACATTTCAGGCGCTCATGAACGATGTGCTGAAGCCGGTCATCCGCCGCTTTATTTTGTTTTTTTTTATGATATTCTAATCTACAGCCCTTCGTGGGCTGAGCACTCGCATCATGTCAAAGCTGTGCTGCAGCTCATGCGCGATCATCGCCTCTTCGCCAAACGATACAGGTGCTTCTTCGACGATCCATCAGTGGCCTACCTTGGCCACATCATCTCCGCCGAGGGTGTCGCCATGGATGCTGAGAAGGTCGCAGTAGTGGAGGCATGGCCACGTCCGCGCACGACACGAGCCCTGCATGGGTTCCTTGGCCTCACCGGATATTATCAGAAATTCATCGCCGGTTACGGCGGCGTGGCGGCGCCGCTCACTGCCCTCCTCAGGCGGGAGGCCTTCACCTGGACGGCCGAAGCAGAAGCCGCCTTCGTCGCCCTCAAGTCAGCGCTGGTCACCGCGCCACTCCTTTAGCTGCCGGACTTCACCAAGCGCTTCGTCGTGGACTGCGACGCGTCCGGCGCTTTGCAGCACCAAGGTGACGGTGCCATTGTGTTCTTCAGCCGGCCGGTCGCTCATCACCACGCCAAGCTGCCGGCCTATGAGCGCGAGCTTATTGGGCTGGTCAAGGCCGTCCGTCATTGGCGTCCTTACCTCTGGGGTCGCGCGTTCACCATCCGAACCGACCACTGGAGCCTCAAGTTCCTCCTCGACCAGCGCCTGACGACCATTCCTCAGCATACATGGGTCTCTAAGCTGTTCGGGTACGACCTCACGGTCGAATACCGCGCAGGGAAGTTCAACACCGTTGCGGACGCGCTTTCTCACCGCGACGAGGGGGCGGCGGTCTTGGTCCTGTTCGGCCCACTCTTCACCAACTACGACACCCTGCGGGCGGAGCTGCAGGATGATGCAGCGGCACAGGACCTGCGCCACCAGCTTGCTGCCGGCACAGCACCGGAGGGGTGCCAGCTCGTCGACGGCTTGCTGCTCTACAACGGCCGTGTCTTCGTTCCGGAGGGCTCTAGCCTCTGGCCGCAGCTGCTCCGTGACGCCCATGAGGCCGGCCATGAAGGGGCACAGAAGACTCCACCGGCTGCGGGCTTTGTTCTACAACAGCCGCGCCCACCACCTTGTCCGCGACTTCGTGCGGGGGTGAGCCATCTGTCAACGCAACAAGACGGAACATCTCCACCCGGCCGGCCTTCTCCAGCCCTTGCCTGTGCCGAACCATGTCTGGAGTGACATCGCCATGGATTTCGTGGAGGGCTTTCCACGCGTCGGCGGCAAGTCAGTCATCTTGACCGTCGTCGATCGCTTCTCGAAGATGGCTCACTTCGTGGCCTTGAGCCACCCCTACTCCGCGCAGTCGGTGGCCCGGACATTCTTCGACAACATCGTCCGGCTCCATGGCTTCCCGTGCTCTATTGTCAGCGATAGAGACACGGTCTTCACCAGCCACTTCTGGAAAGAATTGTTCAAGCTGGCCGGCGTCAAGCTCCTGCGCAGCTCAGCGTTCCATCCCTAGACGGACGGCCAATCTGAGGTCACCAACCGCATCATTGTCATGTACCGGCGGTGCCTTGCCGGTGATCGCCCCCGTTCATGGCTGCAGTGGCTTCCATGGGCGGAGTTCTGCTTCAACACTTCCTACCAATCCGCCCTTCGTGCCACGCCATTTGAGGTCGTCTACGGCTGGCCGCCACCGGCTCTGATGACTTACACGCCGGGCGCGGCTCGTGTGGCTGCCGTCGATCGTCAGCTCCGGGATCGTGATGTCTTCCAGGCTGAGATTCGGGAGCACCTCATCTTAGCCCAAGACACCATGCAGGAGCACCAGAATCAGAAGCGTCGCCATGTGGAGTTTGCTGTTGGCGACTGGGTGCTGCTTCGCCTATAGCAGCGCACGACGGTGGGCATCACGGCCGCCTCCCCCTCCAAGCTTGGCCCTCGCTATTTTGGGCCTTATCAGGTGGTAGAGCGACTTGGAGCTGTCGCTTATCGCCTGCAGCTCCCACCGAAGGCGCGGATACATGATGTCTTCCATGTCGCCTTGTTGAAGAAGTACGAAGGCGAACCACCTGCTTCCATCATGCCACTTCCAGACATTCTTCGTGGCCGTCGTTCCTACTACTTCTCAGGTAGTACGAGCTCGCTTGAACCGAGGTCGCTGGGAGCTCTTGGTGCATTGGGATGGTCGTTTTGTAGCAGATGCTACTTGGGAGCCGGTTGCCGACTTCAAAGAGCGCTACCCAACATTTCAGCTCGCGGACGAGCTGTTTGTTGGGGAGGAGGGAAATGTTGTGGACTCCTTCCTAGGCCGCCACTACAGGCGCCGGACCAGGCGTCCTCCAGCTAATGGCTAGAATGCCGAGTCAATTTAGAAGCATGCATATGCAGTCTAGTGGCTAGGAATGCAGAGTTATTTTTAAGAAGCATTTAGAAGCATGCAGATCCAGTCTAGTGGCTAGGACTGCAGAGTTATTTTTAGAAGCATGCTCCTGTTCTATAAGGGGGCTTAGAGAATGTAATAAGGAATCATCGAAGAAGAATAGAACCTCCCTAGCGGGTGGGGTTCCTCTTCGACGGTGGCTGCGCGCAGTTCTGCTGCTGTCGCCGGCGATCTCCCCACCGCGCCATTGCCTCGCTATCCCCTTCGCTCCAACTCACAGTCTCATCTCCTGCTCCACTCTCCCCTGGACTCTCCTCATTGGCCATGCCGTATCAAAGGATATGATAATACTATCCATAAATGGAATCCATTTGCATTTCTTTTTCATTAATTGGAACAAGTTAGTCGTCTCAGACAGACACATTTATGTTTACTTTATACTTGGTAAGCAGCAAAGTGCAATTTGTGTCTTAGTATGATGTAATTTCTTTGACATCTGGATTGCTTATAGAGCACATTGCAACTTCATAAGTTCATCCTTGCAAGCTTCCTTAAAGATTCTTTTGTTCAACTTATGCAAACGATTTTTTCTTTTAAAGTGAAAGAATTTGACCATAATTTTAAGGGTCAGCATGGTCCATTTCTTGGTGCAGACAGAGAAAGTTGAGCTGGAGAGAACAGTTGTCCATGAGACTAAGGAGAGGGAAACACTTGGCTATGCTAACAGAAGACAAAGTGGTTAGTAGTTTCATTACTCATGCTATAATACTATTCCTTATGATTTTGCTTACCTTTCTGTTTGCAAACTGTTTTACATCATCTTTCAGTGTTTGTCAAAATGTTTAGGGTTGACATAGATGTTACGCCATTTTGGTGTGAAACACTTGAAACCTCTGTTTGCTTTTTTATTATTCATCTGTGGCAAAATAGAAGGATTCGTTCTATGCATCTTGACTTATCTCTCCACATTTTTTACATAAGTGATCAGATATACAGTCATAGTTTCAATCGTCAAATTATTATATAATTATCCAGTGTTCAGCTGAGTATGGTTAAACGTCATTCTCTCTTTGTTAAATACTAATCAGGTTGTACTGTGCAACCATTTTGCCTTGCCTTGCTCCCACCACTTCAGTTCTTGTTGTACAGCTGCTGCTAAATGCTCATTTTTGTTAGACGGTAGTATGCCATGCGTGTGTATGGGTCCAGCGCTAGGCTGTTTAGCTGGCCGGCCCTGGTTGGTTTAGTCAGAGAGATGAGAGGAGTAGAGAGATGAGAGATCTCAGAGAGAGTAGAAGTGCAGAGAGATTGTAGGAGATCTTGACTGGTGTTACTTCTATTAACCACAAGATCTCCTCACCCTCACCTATGTAAAGCCCCCCTCTCCAAATCAATCTATCATGCAATTCCATGCAATCTCTCCTTTCATGGTATCACGAGTCTAGGCTATCACCTGATTCCACTTCCGCTCCTAGCGTGCGCCCCCTTCCCGGCGCTGCTGCTCCTCCTAGCGCGGGCCCGCTTCCCGGCGCTGATGCTCCTAGCGTGCGCCCGCTTCCCGACGCTACTACTCCATGGCCACCCCACAAGACGCTCCCGCCGCCCCTGCTCCTGGCGATGCTGCTACCGCCGCTGCCGCTGCCGCCGTTGATGTCCAACGGGCGGACACCGAGCGCGCCGCCCAGGAGGTCCGCGACCGCGTTGCCGCTCTCACTCGCGCCGAGGAAGCCGAGCGCGACGCCACGCTCACGCAGCAGGAACATGATGCGGCGGACGCGCGTCTTCAGGCCGCTCGTGACCGCGCGGCTTGCGAGCGCGCTGCGGCCCAGCCTCCCAAGGACGACTACGCCGTCGGCGACGCCGGCGGAGAGGTCGCCGCGATTCCTCGCCGCCTCGTGGTCCTTCTCCAGCACGAAGCTGCAGCGCTTCTCAATGTGCACGCGCAGGCGGTTGCCGTGCACAACATTCGCGCACTCGTGCCCCTCGTCCTCGACCTCAACTCCCCCTTCTTCGCGAGATGGCGTGAGTCCTTCCTCGTTGGCAAGTTTTCCCTCTAGCAGCACGTCCTCTCCGACTTCACTGCGCCCCACTCTCCTGATTGGGTGCGCATGGACTGCGTCGTGCGGACGTGGCTCAACGGCACCATCACCGACGACCTCGTCGACACCGTCTCTGAGCGCGGTGCCTGACGAGATCCTAACATATGGGTATGTTAAGCCTCAGGATCAATGGTTCCCGACCGACCCCATCGGGATCGCCCGGGGGCTCGGGGGCTATACTCATCGGGTATGCTCGCGCGCACCCTCAGATTAAGAAATCCGGCCGAGCCTGAGCACGCCAAGGCCTCTGCTCAGGGCTTAGGGGCTCGCCCAAGCCTCAGGCTCCTAATCGACCCTTGGCTCCTGCCCGGCCTACGACGCTAGCCAAGGCCCGGGCACTAGAAGACACACCCTGAGCCATCGAGGCTCGGGGGCTCCCCCAACGCTGCACTTTGGGCGTGGCTTTGCCGGCCGCTCCCCTGACAGGGTCACGCACAGGGCGTGACATAAGAAGACAAGCTCTCCATGGCCTCCGGGGGCTCGAGGGCTTCCGGGCCCGCGCGTCAGCCCCTCGAGTCGGCCTCCCTCGTCACCAAGAAGACTCCGGAACGTGCGCCTGGGAGAGACCGGTCCAAGCCGACACAGCCTGACACTCAACGTGTCAGAACAGGCCAGCCGGACGATGCCCACGGCTTCTTCGGCTCCACGACACCGCCACAGCCCACAGAGCGTTGCTGCAGGACCCTCCTGGACTCCGGCGCATGTATATCATAGGCTCAACCCCCCACACCGCCATGTACCCGATCTATCTCGATATATAAGGGATAAGGTCGGATCCTACAGGGGGAGGACAATCTAAGACAGATCATTCCATTCCTCATCGATCCGCTCCTGCTCGGCACCGAGAGCAGAGCAACCTAGAGAGGGGCACCGATAGCCCCTCCACCGCACCCGTTGTCTTCCTCCTTCCTCCTCTCCGATGAGGGGAAGGCTCCACCGGCGGCGAGGCAACCTTAGGATTAGTACCGAGCTAACCCCCTACCAAATCTCTCTCTACCTTCTTTACACTCTGTTGTAACCCCTCGGTTTTGAGTGCTCTTGAGTATAAGGATCATCAACTGCTGGACGTAGGCCATCGATTGGCTCGAACCAGGATAAACCATTGCGTCCTCCCTGTGATTCTTGTGTTCTTGAGTCCACCCGAGCCACCGGAGACACGTACTCTGACACCGACTCGAACAACAATGCTTGCCGCGGTTTCGACCCCGCGATAGCGTCACTGCTCGCACCACCTGGCTCGCCATCGAGTCCTAATTCCTTGGGAACCGCGCGACTCGCGCGCTCTTCGCCGACCATGAGTTTCGTGCCTTCTCTCAAGGCAATATCTTGGTCTCCGAGTACTGCCGACGCTACAAGCGCATGGCAGAGGACCTCCGCGACCTCGGCGAACCGATCAGTGACTGCACACTCGTCCTCAACATCATCCGGGGCCTCAACGAGCGCTTCAACCCCCTCGGCCTTCATCTCCTGTGCAGCAACCCTCTCCCCACTTTCCTCCAAGTGCGGGACGATCTTCAGCTCGAGGAGCTGATGATGTAGAAGAAGACGGCTCCCGCTGTGGCGCTGGCTGCGACGACCAGCCCTGGGGCTCCTGTGACCACAGGCGACGTGCCCCTGGTGCGTCTTCCTCTGCTGCGCCGCTAACTTCCCTTGTCGCTGCCCCTCCTAAACCCCAGTAACAGGTGGCCGCGACAAGCGCGGCAAACACGGTGGCAAGCGCAGCGGCGGCCCCTCCTCCAACTCTGGCGGTGACTACCACTCGGGGTGCGCAGCAGCATGCTGGGCCGCGCCTCGGTGCTCCGTGGCCGAGCCCCTACATCCCATGGTTTGGGTCTATTCAAATGTGGCCCGGACCACGGGTCTCCATGGTGCTAGGACCACCTTCACAGCCATAGCCGTATGCCCTTATGGCTGGGTCCCAAGGTCCGTGGGCCGGTCAGTGGGGTGTGCCACCTCCCAGCGGCTATGCGCCACCTGAGCCGCCTGGCTATACACCACCTGGCTGGGACCCGTAGACGCTCGACGCCAACTTCCAAACGATGACCCTCCAGCAGCCGCAACAACATGAGTGGTATTTTGACTCCGGCGCCACACCACATGACCTCTGACGCCGGTATACTCACTTCCACTCCCACCTCTTTTCCACCCAACATTATTGTCGGAAATGGTCATTTACTCCCTGTTACCACCACCGGCGCCACTCATCTCCCTCATAACCTCGTCTTAACAACGTTCTTGTTTCTCCGAACCTTATTAATAACCTTATTTCCGTGCGCCAATTTACTTCCGACAATAATTGTTCTATGGAATTTGACCCTTTTGGCTGTTCTGTGAAGGCTCTTCCGTCTCGGAGAGAGATCGCCAGGTGTGACAGCTCCAGTCCCCTCTATCCGTTGCAGCTTCCGGCATCTGCCTTCCTTGCCGCCACGACCTCCTCCGTCTGGCATCAGCGTCTTGGTCATTCTGGTCATGAAGTTCAGTCTAGACTACCACAACACTTTGGTCTTCCTTGTAATAAGAGTGCTAGCCATACTTTGTGTCATGCGTGTCAACTTGGGCGTCATATACTTCTGCCTTTTAATGCGTTGTCATCTCATACCACTCATATTTTTCAGTTAATACATTTGTGATCTTTGGACCTCCCCCATTACTAGTGTCTCTAGTCATAATTATTACTTGGTTATTCTTGATGACTACTCACATTATATATGGACTTTTCCTTTACGTCTCAAGTCTGACACATTCTCCACCATTTCACTTTTTCGCTTATGCGCGCACCCAGTTCGGTGTCAACATCCAAGGAGTTCAGTGCGACAACGGCCGCGAGTTCGACAACTCTAGCACCCGCACGTTCTTCCTCTCCCACGGCGTCCACCTACGCATGTCCTGTCCCTACACCTCACCTCAGAACGGTAAAGCTGAACGCATTATCCGGACCATCAATAATGTTGTTCGCTCTCTCCTGTTCCAAGCTAGTCCCCCCCCCCCCCCGGTTTTTGGGCTGCAGCACTTAGTACCGCCACCTACCTCCTAAACATCCTCCCAACAAAAAACACTAAATTTTTCCACACCTCACTTTTCCCCCTTTGGCACCCAACCATCATATGAGCACCCCCGAGTTTTGGTTGCAAGTGTTATCCCAACCTTTCTGCCACCTCTGCCCACAAACTCGCTCCTCGCTCTGCCCTGTGTGTCTTCCTTGGCTACTCCCTTCACCACAAGGGTTATCTCTGCCTTGACCGTCACACAAATCGCATCATCATCTGTCGCCATGTGGTCTTCGAGGAGTCCTCTTTTCCCTTCTCCGAGGAGCCTTCACCTCCCACCCCGGCGGCCTTCGATTTCCTGGAGGATAATACTAACCCTGTGTCGGTTCCCTTTCCACCATCACCGTATTTTTACCCTGCATGAACAGCTTCACCCGCATAGCCACGTGGCCCCCGACCCACCGCCCCTACCGCCTCTGCCCGTCAGGTCGCAGCTGTCTCAGCTCCCCGCGTCGGCAATGCGCAGCCCAGCAGTGCTCAGTGTCTAGGCGGTCTTCGATGGGTCTGCCACCATGTAGCCACCGACGTCTCCTACGAGGCAGTCGCCGGAGTCCCCTGCGCGTCCTCCCCACTGGTTCGGTGCTGTCTTCAGCCGGCGCCCTCAGCCGTTTCCGGCGCCGCTCCCTCAGGCGTCCTCGACCTCACCGTTGGCATCCCCGGAGGTGCCCATTGTGCGCACTGCTGCAGTCCCTGCAGCGGCAGCGCCCCTTCCTGCTGGTGCTGTTCCCGTGCCACACGTGGCCAATCAACATGCCATGGTCACCTGTGGGAAGCACGGCTTCCGTCAGCCGGCCTTGTTCGAGGCTGCACCCCTGTCTCCAGTTCCCAGGACTTACCGTGCTGCTCTTGCCGATCCAAATTGGCAGACTGCTATGCAGGTGAGTTCTCTGCTTTGGTGTCGAATCACACCTGGGATCTTCTTCCTCGACCGCCCCGGTCCAATGTCGTGACAGGAAAATGGATTTTCAAGCACAAATTCAAAGCTGATGGTTCCTTTGAGCGCTACAAGGCACGTTGGGTTCTTTGTGGATTCACCCAATGCCCTGGTGTTGATTTTACGGAGACTTTCAGTCTAGTCGTCAAACCTGCCACTGTATGGACAGTTATATCTCTGGCTCTCTCGCGCTCCTGGCCTATCCATCAGCTTGATGTTGACAATGCTTTACTGCATGGGACCCTGTCCGAGACAGTTTACTATGCTCAGCCATCCAGGTTCGAAGATGCTGCTCATCCGGATTATGTGTGCCGCCTTAATCGCTGTCTTTATGGACTTAAGCAGGCACCTCGTGCTTGGCACAACAGATTTGCCTCCCACCTCCTGTGGCTTGGTTTTGTTGAGACCAAATATGACACTTCATTGTTTGTCTACCGTCGTGGCACAGATATGGTTAACCTCCTGCTCTATGTGGATGACATTGTGTTGACAGCTTCCTCCACTGCCTTACTACAGCGTACCATTGGTGCCCTTCAGCAGGAATTCCCTATGAGGGACCTCGGCGATCTTCTTGACTTTCTGGGTCTCAGCGTTCAGCACACCAGCTCGGGTCTCTCTCTCTCTCAGCGACAGTATATGATCGAGATTCTAGAGCGTGCCGGGATGGCTGATTGCAAGCCATGCTCAACACCTGTGGATATTAATCCGAAGCTCTTCGCTGATGGTGCCCCTGTCGCTGATCCCATGGATTTCTGCAGCCTTGCAGGTGCCCTTCAGTATTTGACCTTCACTCGGCCCGACATCTCCTATGCAGTTCAGCAAGTATGTCTCCACATGCATGATCCACGAGAGCCACACCTTGCCGCCCTCAAGCGCATCCTGCGCTATGTCCATGACACCTTGGCGCTGGGTTTACGGCTGCGGCCCTGTTCCCAATCTGATTTGGTTGTGTACTCTGCTGACTGGGCAGGCTGTCCCGACACGCGCAAGTCCACCTCTGGTTATGCAGTGTTTCTTGGTGACAAACTGATTTCGTGGTCATCCAAGCGTCAGAACACCTTGTCCCGTGCCGAGGACGAGTACCAAGCTGTTGCCAATGCCGTTGCAGAGGCTAACCTGGTTGCGCCAATTGTTGTCTGAGCTGCACACCCCTTTGCGCAAGACAACTTTGGTGTATTGTGATAACGTCAGCACCATCTACATGTCTTCGAACCCTGTTCAGCATCAGCGCACCAAATATGTGGAGATTGATCTACACTTTGTTCGGGAGCGCGTTGCACTTAGTGATATTTGTGTCCTCCATGTCCCAACAACATCTCAGTTTGCCGACATATTCACCTCGTCAGTCTTCACACAGGTCAGGTCCAGTCTCAACGTCTGCTCGACCGATGCTGCGACTGCGGGGGCGTGTTAGACAGTAGTATGTCATGCGTGTGTATGGGTCCAGTGCTAGGCTGTTTAGCTGGCCGGCCCTGGTTGGTTTAGTCAGAGAGATGAGAGGAGTAGAGAGATGAGAGGAGATCTCAGAGAGAGTAGAGGTGCAGGGAGATTGTAGGAGATCTTGATTGGTGTTACTTCTATGAACCACAAGATCTCCTCACCCTCACCTATGTAAAGCTCCCCTTCTCTGAATCAATCTATCATGCAATTCCACACAATCTCTCCTTCTTTCAATTTTCCATATTTTTTCAAGATGGTCTGTTATTGTTAGTATGTTCTCTTCACATGTTTCTTCAGATTCTATTGCAATGAATGAAGAATAAAAAATGGCTAATGTATTTAGAACTTGAAGAGTCTTGTATGTTGGCCCCATTTTAAATGTTTGATACTCCCTCCATTCCAAATTGTAAGTTGTTTTGGCTTTTTAAATTCATAGTTTTTATTATGTATCTAGACATAGTGTATATCTAGACGCATAGTCAAAGCTATGTACCTTGAAAAGCCAAAATGACTAACAATTTTGAACATAGAGTATTTGCTTTCCTTTTCCAGTGGAAGGTATGAATCCCAAATGCCACTGTAGTAATGTATTAACATACAAGTGTATTCTTCTCTACATGTCCTAATACTGTGAGATATGAACATAATTTTCTCTGTTTAGTGAAACATACAAGTGTATTCTTCTCTATATGTCCTAATACTGTGAGATATGAACATAGTTATCTCTGTTTAGTGATTTAGTCTTGTAGCTGGTGTGCGTATATCTTTTGTAAATAGCTGCTCAGCGGCTTTACAAATAAAGGGACATCGCTGAGTTATGCTGCTTTCAGTGTGTTCCTGGGCAGTCTGGCCTTGGTCCATTTTGTCCATCCTGTGTTGTGATTCTCTCGTTAATGCAATGCCTCAGGGGAGGGGTCGAGTGTTTCTGAAGATGAAAGTTCAAGAACCAAAGCATCCATACTGACTAGCTTAACTTATCTGTGTTTCCTTTTATTAATCAGTTATACAGCTTGAGGTAATTAGCAAGCCTTTATCAAGGTCTATGAATAAATATATTGTTACACTGATCTAGCTTTCTAACTAATACTATGGTTTTTGACAGTTTCATGTGGGTGATACAGTTTAATCTTCTGAAAAATATGATTGGCTAACAATTTTATTCAACTTTTTTCGAAGTTTATATTATTAGCTTTAATCTTGTCTAAAGCTTATCTCAGATGTCAGATGTAGCTTGGCAAATGTCTCTTTCAAGGAAGTGGTTCAGCCCTATGTTTTCTCGCCTTACATTACGTAGGCATGTGGCTTGTTGTTTTGGTTCCCATTATATATGCCAAATTATGGTATACCATAATAAAAATTATGTATTATGTATTTATGTAAGTTGCTCTCATACTGTTTTCATCAGAAAAATTGTTCAGATGCTCCATTTATTACTTTTTTTATTTACTAATTTGTGAGGCAGCAGTGAGTAGATTGATAATTTGGCTTACTTTCTTTATTTGCCTCATAACCTACGACCATAAATATTTAAAATTAAAATACAGGAAAGAAAAATATGTTATAACTTACTTGATGTCTATATTTGTTGTTATAACAATGCTAATGAATACAAATTTTGCTTGGAGTGATACATATTTGTATGGCTTATTCCTTCGGTATATACCAAGAAGCATGCACATTTGTTCGTTGTATAGAAACCTGAATTTTTTTTGCAGAAAAGAAACTTGAAATTATTTTGTGTACTAAATTTATGTCCAGGTCGTTCCTAAAATGGGGCTTATTTTTTTTTTGCTGTTTGCCAAATGTGCAGATTTCTATTCAGTTTTATCAGGAGGAAGTACAACTGAATCAGACCCTGACACTGCAAGCCACGTGGCTGAAGTTGAAACTGAAGAAGATGAAGTTACATACTTTGATACAAGAGACTTTTTATGTGCAGAGTCTTTACGGAGTGCTTCATGTCAAAGGAGGGAACTAACTGCACAAGGTTTTGGATCAGAATATGTTGGAGTTTCTGTTACAAATAGTGTCAAAACTACTAAATATCCCTTTGTGCTACGTAGGGATAAGCTACCGGAGCCTAAGGAAAAAGAGAAGCATATAGGATTATGGTCAATAATTAGAGAAAATATAGGGAAAGACCTCTCAGGTGTTTGTCTACCTGTTTATTTCAATGAGCCTCTTTCTTCTTTACAAAAATGTTTTGAAGATTTGGAGTACTCTTACTTGGTTGACCATGCACTACACTGGGGAAAACAGGTAGAGTAATAAGTCTTGCCAACACTCTCTTTAAAGGATTAATTATGTGAGATTCTATTTCAATGTTTCTTTATGGTTCCATTTTATTTTTCTTTGTAAGATCTTCCATATATTTCAACTGCTTAATCAAACATTTTTGGGAGTCTATAGAAAAAAATTGATATTGGTCAAAATTTAACTAGTTATGCATGGCCAAGGTTTTTTTAGTAACTATAATTTTCTTCTTTGAAAATATCAGACTGCATTATATGTTTTATGTATGACACTTCAAGTAACTAAATTTGGTCCACGTAAGAAACTTTACATTTGAAGCCTTCTTTGCTTGCCCCATCCTGGTCTCCTGGCCAACAGAGAACTTTTAGGCCTGGATTGGGCTGAAATTCCTGCCAGTTTTGGTTCATCCAAACAAGTTATGTAAGCATGTTGAATAATTGTAAAAAGGCAATGTTTAATATGAATAATTTTACTGATTTGAACTGTCTAGTCATCTAGTGTTATCTCTATCATCCAAACTCATTGCACAAGCTGTTTAAATTTCTGATATCTTTAGCGACGAGAATCTCTGTGTAGCATGTAATCCATAGGAGAATCCAACCCCCCCCCCCCCCCCCCCACACACACAAAAAAAAAAAGCTGATACACTGATTAAAAACGAGAACCTCATATCCAATTTACTTTTGGTTCTTCGCTGGCTACAAATTTTGGTATGCAATATGCTTTCTTTTAGGAAAGAAGTTAGTTTGGGAGCGAATTTTAGGCTGGAGTTAAAAAAAAATCCCCTCATCTGTCCCACGCCAAAGTATAGGTCTAAGGTCTGGCTATGGGCTATGGTGTCACTGTGTATGGGTGGGGCGGGGGTTTGGGGATTTTCTTGACCTGCGTGAGAAGATGTTCTTAGCAAATTGCCCGGGGGCTGTCTTACCCCGCAGGTCCAGTTTTGTAATCTTCACCCTAATTTGAGTGCTATGCTTTGCTTCCTATCAATGCTTTATGTTTTGCAATGCAATGATTCTTGGTAAATAAAATGTAGGGTGACAGCTTAATGAGGATACTTCATGTAGCAGCGTTTGCAGTATCAGGTTATGCTTCAACCGAAGGTCGGCAATGCAAACCCTTCAATCCCCTACTGGGGGAAACATATGAAGCTGACTATCCGGATAAAGGACTTCGTTTTTTCTCTGAAAAGGTTGCATAGCTGTTCGAACTATGAACTATTTTATACTCCGTTCTGCAATACTTGTCCATAGCACACCATGCACAGTCTGAAAAAGTAATACTTTCATGAAAAAGAAAATGTGAAATGACCATCCATTACCCCTATTAAATGTAATTATAAAGCATGCAAGTTTAATTCTTAGTTCCTGTCTTCTGAACATTTAATTAGGGGTAGAGTGGAAATACAGCAATAACTGCACACTTGGTATCGTCGTTGGACAAGTATTATGAAATGATTTTTTCCAAGGCCATGGACAAGTATTGTAGAAAACAGAGGGAACTAGTAATTTAATTCCTAGTTCCTGTCATTGATTTTGTTTGTACCTTGCATGTTTTCTAGTAGTATTAACCTATAGTGCTCACTGAAGTTATTTGGTTAAGAAGGTATTCACATGAATTGATTAAAAAAACGTGATTGTGACAAGAACTAATATTTATTTCAGGTCAGTCATCACCCAATGGTTGTTGCATGCCACTGTGACGGTAGAGGTTGGAGATTCTGGGGTGATTCCAATCTGAGAGGGAAGTTCTGGGGTCGATCCATTCAGCTTGACCCAATAGGCGTTCTTACCCTCCAATTTGATGATGGAGAAACATTTCAGTGGAGTAAAGTGACTACTTCCATTTACAATATCATAATTGGCAAAATTTACTGTGACCATTATGGCACAATGCGCATCAATGGAAGTGGCCAGTACTCCTGCAAGCTTAAATTTAAAGAACAGTCAATTATAGATCGCAATCCACACCAGGTAACTCAGTAACTTGAAACTTCTACGTGTGTGATAGGAACTGTTCAAAGGAAACCTTCTGCTTTGAAAAATAAGGGCAAATATTTTTTTTATAATAGAACAGCACTTCATTTCTACGTTCTCTTGTCCAAGGTCTTTTATTCTTTTATTAACCTCTAGTACCTCACATAGCATCATACCACAGTTTATAAAGACATGTGCCAAAGAGGATGCATTTTTGCTTTATTTTTTACAAGGTCTTTGCCGGTGCATTGCAAGGGGAGCCAAAAAACAATATTTTCCAAGAAAAATTCGTATCATCCCAATTTGGGATCCATATTGCACAACTAAACCTCATGGTTTCTGACTGAGATTTCCCAAAAAAGATACCTCTCCTGCGTGTTCGGGAAAAAATCGAGACCAAGAAAGAACTCCCACCTGAACTACTTACATAAAAATATGGCACTGGTATAGCACTCCTATATTTGCAGTTTATCCATTTTGAAATACAAAGAATGGTTACCTAGAAGGACAGGCTTGACAGTTTTAATGTGAACCAGTATTAAATTGAAACCCAGGAGTGAGGAAACATAAACTCTTAAGTCTTAACAAAACAATCTGGATTTACTTTGGAGAGAGCAAATGAGAGGACAAGGATTTTCTTCTTTCAGGATTCCATCTTGGGAAATATGCAAGCACAAGTAATCATTGCAATCACAACTGTCACATTGGTAGGTAGATCACCATGACATAACCCTTTCCTACAAATGCCAAACGAATACAACAACAACAAAGCCTTTAAGTCCCAAACAAGTTGGGGTAGGCTAGAGTTGAAACCCAGCAGAAGCCATCAAGGTTCAGGCACGTGAATAACTGTTTTCCAAGCACTCCTATCTAAGGCTAAGTCTTTGGGTATATTCCATCCTTTCAAGTCTCGTTTTATTACCTCTACCCAAGTCAACTTCGGTCTTTCTCTGCCTCTCTTCACGTTACTATCCTGGTTTAGGATTCCACTACGCACCAGGTGCCTCTGGAGGTCTCCGTTGGACATGTCCAAACCATCTCAACCGGTGTTGGACAAGTTTTTCTTCAATTGGTGCTACCCCTAATCTATTACGTATATCATCATTCTGAATTCGATCCCTTCTTGTATGACCGCAAATCCAACGCAACATACGCATTTCCGTGACACTTATCTGTTGAACATGTCGTCTTTTTGTAGGCTAATATTCTGCACCATACAACATAGCAGGTCTAATTGTCGTCCTATAAAACTTACCTTTTAGCTTCTGTGGTACCCTTTTGTCACATAGGACACCAGATGCTTGGTGTCATTTCATTCACCCTGCTTTGATTCTATGGCTAACATCTTCATGCATATCTCCGTCTCTCTGTAGCATTGATCCTAAATATCGAAAGGTATCCTTCCTATGCACTACTTGACCTTCCAAATTAATATCTTCCTTCTTCCGAGTAATAGTGCCGAAGTCACATCTCATATACTCAGTTTTAGTTCTACTGAGTCTAAAACCTTTAGACTCCAAAGTCTCCCGCCATAACTCTAGTTTCTGATTCACTCCTGTCCGGTTTTCATCAACTAGCACTACATCGTCCGCGAAAATCATACACCAAGGGATGTCCACTAGTATGTCCCTTGTGACCTCATCCATCATTAAGGCAAACAGATAAGGGCTCAAAGCTGACCTTTGATGTAGTCCTATCCTAATCGGGAAGTCCGTGTCTCCATCACTTGTTCGAACACTAGTCACAACATTGTTGTACATGTCCTTAATGAGCCCGACGTACTTCGTTGGGACTTTATGTTTGTCCAAAGCCAACCACATAACATTCCTTGGTATTTTATCATAAGCCTTCTCCAAATCAATAAAAACCATGTGTAGGTCCTTCTTTTCCCTATACCGCTGCATAACTTGTCTTATTAATAAAATGACTTCTATGGTTGACCTTCCGAGCATGAAACCAAATTGGTTCATAGAGACCCGCGTTATTGTTCTCAAGCGATGCTCGATAACTCTCTCCCATAGCTTCATAGTATGACTCATCAACTTAATTCCCCGATAATTAGTACAACTTTGAATATCCCCATTATTCTTGTAGATCGGTACCAATATACTTCTTCTCCACTCGTCAGGCATCTTGTTCGATCGAAAAATATGGTTGAACAGCTTGGTTAGCCATACTATAGCTATGTTCCCGAGACATCTCTACACCTCGATTAGGATACCATCCGGTCCCATCGCCTTACCTCATTTTATTCTTTTCAATGTCCCGCTGACCTCAGATTCTTGGATTCTCCTCACAAAGCGTCTATTGGTGTCAACAAAAGAGTCATCCAACTGAAATGTTGTGTCCGTATTCTCACCATTGAACAATTTGTCAAAATACTCTTGCCATCGATGTCGGATCTTATCCTCCTTCACCAAGAGATGCTTCCTTTCATCCTTAATGTACTTAACTTGGTTGAAGTCCCTTATCTTTCTCTCAAGAACCCTAACCATCCTATAAATGTCATTCTCTTCTTACTTCGTACTTAAATGTTAGTAAAGATCCTCGTATGCTCTACCCTTTGCCACACTTACAACTCGCTTTGCAATCTTTTTTGCCACCTTATACTTCTCTATGTTGTCCACATTCCTGTCATGGTACAAGCGTCTATATCATTCTTTCTTCTCCTTAATAGCCCTTTTGACTTTCTCGTTCCACCACCAAGTATCTTTAGCCTCGCCTTCACTTCCTTTGGTTACTCCACACACATCTGAGGCCATCTTCCGAATGTTGGTTGCCATCTTCTCTTACATGTTGTTTATGTGCTATTCTTCCTTCCAAAGTGCCTTTTTTGATAACCCTTTCCCTGAATACCTCTGACGTCTCCTCTTTCAGTTTTCATCACTTTGTTCTTTCAATCTTAGCTTGTTTATCCTTACGGGCATGCATCTGAAAACGAAAGTCTGCCACCAAAAGCTTATGTTGACAAACAACACTCCCCTGGTATTACCTTGCAACTCAAGCATACTCGTTTGTCCTTTCTTCTTGCGAGGACAAAGTCAATCTGACTAGAGTGTTGTCCGCTACTGAAGGTCACTAGATGAGATTCTTTCTCTTTGGCTATCATTAGATCAAAAGCTACCGCGAAGTCCAGAACTTCCTCATGATTCCTACTACCATACCCAAAACCTCCATGAACTGCATCGAAACCTGCGCTTGTAGTACCTACATGTCCATTAAGATATCCTATAAAAAGCTTCTCACTACTAGGTACAGAGGCCATCTAAGTCTTTCCAGAACTGTCTCTTAGCACTTTTGTCGAGGCCTACTTGGGGGCATACGCTCTAATTACGTTCAAGACCATATCACCAACGACAAGCTTGACTAAGATAATTCTATCTCCTTGCCTTCTCACTCTCACCACACCATTCTTGAGGCTCTTATCAATCAAAACTCCTACTCCATTTCTATTTGCGATTGTCTCTGTGTATCAAAGCTTGAAACCTGTATTGTTCACTTCATTCGTCTTCTGACCCTTTCATTTAGTCTCCTGAATGCATAATATATCTACACGCCTCCTAATCGCGGTATCGACTAATTCTCTTAACTTACCTATAAGCGACCCTACATTCCGACTACCTAAACGGATCATAGTTGGTTCGACTAGCTTCCTTACCCTTCGCACCCGTCAATTCAGATGTGAAGACCCTTGCTCATTTTTCATAACACCAGGGTGCCGATGTAGCGTGCCACTAAGGAAGCGACGACCCGATCCTTGCTCACTTGACACCATGCCCAGATCGCGACACGGCGCATCACCAAGGGGGTGCCAATCCGGCCCTTACCCATTTAACACCATACCGGGTTTCGATATCGCGCGTCGCTAAGAGGGTTACGCCCCAACGGTTTTCTTTCGGGTTTCATCTCTATTAGAATGGCTAGATTTAATGTTGGCTCGCCACGTCTATCATAATCCTCCTCCTTTATCAAGGTTTGGGACCTGCTATGTTGAGACAACATAGGTTCTCCTTTTCTAATGATAACACTTTATTATCTGAGTCCGTTGAGTGAGCGGTGAATGTGATAGCTGACTCTGTTGACTCAGCGTTTTCGACGATTATTATTTGAGGGAATCCTCGTATCCAAGAGGCAACAGTTATCTGGGTTGAATCGGAGGCAACTTCTTGGGTAAAAACACATGGAAGGTACTAAGGACAAGTCCGCCTTGGAAATCATTAACGAAGAAGAATGATAACGTGGTCTGTAGGACAACAAAAGTTGCAAGTATTCACTAACTGGAGAAACAGTACACCACCAAGATTGAGTATAATTTTCCTTCATGGTGCTGTTGCACAGTAAGTTGGGTTGACTTGCACTGTAGCAAAACTAGCTTTGTTGAACTACATTTGACATTGAAGCTACCTTTCTAATGTCAATCAACAACTCATAAGCATAATCTGAAATCTGTTGTTTGACACTTTTCAAATTGTTTTCGACTCGTAACGGTATAAATTTACTTGTAGAACACATTAACTGCTTAAGCATTGTTGATATGAGAGGGCAAAATCAAGCCAAAAAGGGGTGCAAGGAGTTTCCTCTAGGGCACCTAAAGGATTATCTAACGGCAAAACATTGACCATGTTGCTAATCTTGGCATCAATTACAAACTCAACCTTCTATTTGGAGGGGTGATAGCAGTCAATAGAGAAATCGTAGATTCTGTACCTCCCGATAATCAGTTCATATCCTGTAAACTACTGCTCCATTGTGCACAAATTTTGGTAGTCATTTAGATCCACGAGTCCTTTAACTACTGACCAAAATTCAGCTCAAACGGAACCGTTTGACTATCCAAACAAATCATTTACCAAAACTATTTTGTTCTGAAATTTTGTGACTGAAATGTCAAAACATCTCTCAAATCCGATGTTTTACTCAACCAATCCTCAAACCAACTTAAAACATCGAAGTACCTTAAGCGAGGAATGAGATTACCAAGTTTGGTGTGAATTCAA